ATTTAACTTGTAAAAAAATCCTTGAACACTTTGAATTTTCTTGAACTAATGTGAACTTGAATTTTGAGTGAGTTTTGAATTACTGGACTTAAAGAGTCTTTCAATCTTGTATCACCTTAAATTGAATTTCTTGAATCTTAGAATTAAAACATGATGCGAAATCTCCTTGCTCTTGAATTTTTGAATGGTGAATTTTCATGGTGACATATGTATATTTTTTGCCAAAACCCGTGGATTGAAAACATTGCAATTTGAATCATAACTTGATTAGAACTTGAACTTGTAACTTTCAAAATTTGAATGATAACTTAAATATTTGAATCCCATGATGACTTGAACTTGAACTTGGACTTTTTCAACTTGAATCTTGTGAAGGACATGGCTCTTGAGATCTTGGAATTAAATTTTATGAAGCTTTATTCTTCTGGGATCTTTAATCACATGGAAATGTAATTATACCAAAAAAATCCTCTGAATTTTGAAGCTTGAAAACATTCTTGACAATGTATAAAACTTTTGGAGAATAATGCGCCCAAAACCTTAGGACCACTTTGAGTCAAGATCAATTGGTCATCCCTCGAATACTTGACTGTGAGAATAAGTAGCATCTACATTTGAAATCAATGTACCTGCACACACTTGTTAGTTATAATAAACACGCATACAAGATCATATGACCTATTTCTCAGAAGATCATGGCCAAAGGCCAGATGATCTTACAGATAGAAAACTGAGAAAGGTAGGACAATTTTGGAGTATGACAAGTGCATATCCTTAGAAACCAAGCAGTCAATATACACTATAAACGACTATATCGCTTAGTTCTCTCTGAGTGGGGAAAATGTATAAGCATGTCGCATATCCTCAGTGTAAGTTGGTACATAGAACCAATCAGAGATTCACGGGAAGTGATGGGGGATCCAAGCCTAAAAAGTACGGATCATCCATAAGGGTGTTGCAAAAATGCAATTAAAATGACAGAAAAATACTAAAAGACCAATAAATATTACTGTCAATAGTGTGATGCTTCCAGTGACCAACTTTGTCTTCCATCTACAACCCTTTGATAGCTACAAGTACAAGTAGGCTAAACAAGTGGCCCTCGATTATACTCATGGATCCGCTCAAATTCCTCGAAGTACCGCAGGTAGACGATATTTTTCGGGTAGAAGTCGATTAGATACAAGAAGACTCCAAATTTGTCAGAAAAAGAAAATCGGATACCACATTAATGTCGGCCTTCAAATGGAAACTAAACAAACTCACACTGACAAAAGTTAATAACACCAAAAGGATGATGGTAAACTCAAAACTACAATGCTGACACCAAAAGGATATCAGTAAGATCAACCAAGCTGGCTATCACCAAAAGGATGATAGTGGGTTCACAATGACTTCAAAAACTGCCAACACCAAAAGGATGACGATTATTAAACTTTAACGAATGTCATCACCAAAAGAATGATGATTAGGCATCACAACTGGGGTCAACATCACCAAAAGGATGATAGTAAGATCAACAAACTCCAAGATTTTTATTACCAAATGGATAACAACCTTCACCAAAAGGATGATGAGTAAATCGAAACTCAAAGATTGTTATCGCCAAAAGGATGATAGGAAAACAATGAAGATTTCTATTACCAAAAGGATAACAACCATCAATTAAAAAAGGTTGTTGTCACCAAAAGGATGATAGTTAACTCAACATCTTCAATGTTTGCCATCACCAAAAGGATAAAGGTTAAATCAGACTGACAAAGATCGTCATCACCAAAAGGGTGACGGTTAGATCATTATGGCACTTGCCTAGCACCAAAAGGATGATAGTATGACCATAATTTGCAAAGATTGCCATTGACAAAAGGATAATGGTGGGATCATAACTGCAAAGAACACCGGCACCAAGAGGATGACAGTTCTATCACCAAAATGATGATAGTGAATACACAAACTCGTTATTACCAAAAGGATAATAATAAGCACACACAAAGATCTCCAACACCAAAAGGACAAAGGATTACCGACATCAAAAGAATGAGGATAATAACACAATTTGCTATCACTAAAAGGATGATAGTAAATTCCCAACTTCAAAGATCACCGACATCAAAGGACGAGGGTAATAACATAATTTTCTATCACCAAAATGATGAGGGTAATAACACAACTTTCTATCACCAAAATGATGATAGTAAATTACCAACTTCAAAGAGCACCGACATCAAAAGAATGAGGGTAATAACACAATTTGGTATTACCAAAAGAATGATAGTAAATTTCCAACCTTAAAAATCACAGACATTAAAAGGATGACAGTTCTATCACCAAAAGGATAATAGTAAACACACACCACTCGCTATCACCAAAAGGATAATAGTACGTTCCCAATCTTCAAAAATTACTGACACCAAAAGAATGAAGTTAACATCACAAATTGCTATCACTAAAAGGATGATAGTGACGACACAATTTTCTATCACCAAAAGGATAATAGTAAATTGCCAACTTTAATGATTACCGACGTCAAAAGGAGGAAGGTAATATCACAATTCTCTATCACCAAAAGGATGATATCAAATTCCAAACACCAAAAGGATGGAGGTAAGAAGATTAAACAACCAAACTGGCTATCACCAAAAGAATGATAGTAGACACACGACTCAAATGATCACCGTCACCAAAAGGATGAAGGTAAAATAAAAACAGCAAAGCTTGCTATCACCACAAGGATGATAGTAGGCACATAATTTCCATGACCACCCTCATCAAAAGGATGAAAGTAAGGTCGGAAAAATTTGGTATTACCAAAAGGATGATAATAAACACATACTTTAATGATCACTATCACCAAAAAGATTAAAGTGAAATCAAAACCACAAATCTTGCTATCACCAAATGGATGGTAGTAAGACTGGCTTGGGGAGGTCAATAAAAGGTTGAAGAAAGAGAAAATTCATCAAGGAAAACCTTCCTTATCAATAAAAAGTTGAAAGGAATCAACTCACTGGGGAACGCCCAATAAGTAAGGTAGGAATTATTCAGAGAGATACCACATGAATGGTCTGATGATAATAACTTCATCAACAAAGGTTGAAGGAAACAACTCAACAGGGAACACCCGCTGAACAAAACCTAGTAAGAACTCTGCTTGGAGAAATACCAATGAATGATCCAATCTAAAGAGAACAACTTCTTCAACAAAAGGTTGAAGAGAATAACTCCATGGGGAATGCCCATTGGCTTAGTTGAGGATCGGCCTGGAATCTCATAATTGATCCCAGATACCGACTTATGCATGTATGCATGTTTGATTTTGAAAATGGTACTCCACATTGGATGGCAGTATGATGCAAATGTTGATGTACTAAAATGCATGCAAGGATGCGAATGTTGGGGATGTATATAAATTCTGGTAATGTATGCAATAATACTTATGATACATATAATGCTTGAATGCAAACATATGATCAGATAGGTTGGGGCTGACTCCCTGGCACTCAATTTGATGATGCCATGACCACAAGAAGGATTCGAGTGCTTTTGGTGCCCAAAGTTTGATCACTTGTTGATAAGTTGTGTATTCGTTCATGAGAGAAGCACAACTTTTATGCTTGAGGGTCAGAAAGGCCTGAGAATGAGCGTAGCGACATAATCAATGCTTAGAGATTATGTTGATAGTGTTTGGAAAGATCAGCTTATTTTGCTTGAGAGCACTGAGAGAACCTACCCCTTACAACTTGTTCTACCCCAGTCTGTTGGATTCTTGAAAGAATTATGCTGGGGGAACTCTGAGAGTTATCATGACATGATTTTCTAGCGTCTGAATATATTAGTAATCTGCCCCTAATTAATCCTTTGAGATAATTTGCTTCTGATTAAGCTTTTGAGGGACTTGCCCCATATTCAAAGGGTTTTAAGGTAGTATTGATTCAGATCAGCACCAACGAAAGTTCAAGTTCTTCTTTGATTTCCCCTTGTTGGAATCTCCTTGATGTCAAGCACTGATTTGCAATTAAAAATTGTTCATTCAAAAATGATTATTTTAAAGGGATGTTCATGCAAGTTTTGAAAAAAATATCATTTATTGGACTGATGTGGAAGTGTGTGGCAAATGGATCATTAGTCTAAACACAATGCTGATTAAGCTAGTGTATGAAAGATACGTCGAGAACAAAATAGAGGATTAACAAATCTCTAGGAGTCAGTTTACACAATCTTGTTGTAGTATGCTTTCAGAACAAATCTTGCCTCAATTAGATCTTTTGAGGATTGTAACGTGGTCTGGTTCACGGTTCTTGAAACAAAGGATAATTTCATTGTATATTCCAAAAAATAGCAAAGTATAGTATTAAAAGCATGGTTGGGTAATGTAGTTAAGTTGGTTAGATAGCTTTACTCTTAAGTACTTCTCCCCTTTAAGACCTCATGCTTCAAAGTTGCATACATTCCAAAATTGGCGGGTAAGAGCAAGGATAAATCGATCGAGTCTAGGTGCGAGTCTAAAATGGCTCATCACCAAAGTAAGCACGATATAGGCTGCATCAAAGTCAGAATATCTAAGGTAAGCCTTTATATGCCTTTATCGGGTGACATTAATACATCAAGATTGTTCGTGAAGATTAAACTGTATTTATGGTTGTTGTCTGATATTAGGCTAACGCAATTAATATAAATATAAACATACTGCAAATCGAAATGGCAGGCTCAATTCATACGAAAAAATCAATCATGTGACTCTTTCAAACTAACATCTAAAAAGTTATTTAACTAGTGTTCGTTGTGTGAACAATATATAATAAAATAATAAAAATAATTAATGCCATAATCATATATTTGTGTTGTAAAAATAATTCTCGCCCTACATATTATTTAAATTATTATAGAAAAACAGTTATTTATCATAATTATCTATACAACCACCATTCATCCTATTTATATGATGAATGTTACAAATGTTTTATTGTCATGACCTAATTTATGTCTAAAAGTGACATTATTCATGAAACAATACTCGGATTTAAAGAGGCATATTGAAGAAGCTCCACATCACATTCAAACCTAACCATATCATTCTCTTTCATACTCACAATAACTTCGATCCCATCTCCATCTCTCGTATCCATCAAAATAACCGCATTCTCTGCAGGACAAGCACTAGTTGTCACCCATATTGGTTTCCCCCACCCAAAATCAGCTTCATACATTGGAAACTTGCACCAACTAGCATAAGCAATGAAACTTTGATTCTTATCACTCTCCGAAACTCTAGTAGTAACTTGTTTTAAGCATTCACAAATAAATGACAAGTCCTTTTCCTTCCCTCCAAATTTCTTAGGGTAAACCTCACAAAACTCACGTAACCCTTGTCTAATTCTGAATACCAAATCATGTAGCTCCGGGTTCATAACAAACATGATCCAAACTAAATTTCCTACACATTTATTAGATAATGGAGGAACCATTCTTTTGCGAAGATTTACCGCGATTTGAAGGGATGTTGTTTTGAAATTTAATCCTAATGTAGAAACCACTCGCTTGTAAATCAATGCAGTTACAACTTCAACACGCGTAGGGTTTTCGACAACGCGAGAATTAGAATTTACGAGGTTTTTAAGTAACTTTATCTTACATGCTTCAAACACAAACCTTTTGCACACTATTGTTTTGTCTATTGCAAAACCAACTTCGGGAAATTTTGGTAAATTGCCTAGTGAAAATATTGTATCTCCAGCATAAAGTAGATCGTAGGGCAACAATGACGTCAATGTTGACTGTGACTCTTGTTCGCGGTTCAGTTTGGACCAATCATTCACAAAATTAAAAGCGGTAGTAGCATCTATAATTTTGTGACATGTGCACAAACTTATTACAATTCCTCCACATGCAAAACAATTTATTTGAACGACTAAAATACTTTCATTCCATTTCATCATCTTCCATTGCAGTTCATCAGGAAACAAAGGATCAAACAACTTTTCGTTAGGGTTTTCAAGTATTGTTGATAATTTTGTTCTTGTAACATTTGCAACTAGAAATAACACACCTTGATCGTTGCATTCGATGGATCGTTGATCTTTGAACCTGCCTGCAAAAGGATAGTATATGGATAGAATTTGAGATAAAGAATTTTTGAGGTGTGAGATTATGGATTTTTGGTCACAAACTTTGGTATCATTGTAAAAGAAAAGGAAAGGTATATAGTAACGGAAAGTGATGTGATCTATGAAAGATATGGGGAAATTTCTAAAGTGAGGAGGAGTAGGTGATGAGGGTTTGATGAATTCTCTTGATATTATTTCCATTTCCATACTTCACAAAAATATTTTTGGATTCTTTGCTCTGCCAACTCAAGTACATAATATAGTAGTAAAATTGAATATTTTATACAGCAATAATGATAATTAATTTAAGACTTATATGCTCCATTGGGAAAAAAATTACTTAGTTTAATACACTTTACAGCTGGAGTATATTTCTTATACTCTTATTTAATATAGTTTTAATAAAAAAACTAAGCTAGTAGTACTTTGATTTGAATATATAATTTTACATAATGTATATAATCTCTTGAAAACGACAATCAGCCGGCTAAGGATTAGAGCCAAATTTATGTTAGGTATATTCTTTCTTATCTTTGACTTTAGAGGGGTATCGATATCCTATATACAATATTAATTTAAAATTTAAAATTAATTAATAAGTTATATAACAATAAGACATGTTCTAGAGTGACTGGTTTAAACTTAAATTTATTTAATTTTATATATGCTTTTTATTGTTGATCACGCCAAAAAATGTTATCGTACCCGTTAAATTATTTATTTACATTAGGATTTGTATTTTGTGTGTGTAGTGGTATTTCTCAAAGAATCTTTAGTAATCATACCGATCCAAGTTTATAAGGATTGTTTCGGACGAAAAACTAAAACTACTTCAATGTGGAAATGGATTTTCGGATGTATTCAGTTAATCTCATCAAAAATTTTGTCAAAAATTAATACAAAAATTGCATATTTTATACCTCATGAAAATACACTTTCAAACGTGCTTTTAATCAATAAGGCAGGGGACCTCCATTTTCTCATTTTCGATGTACTCTTACAAACACTCTTATTCTCAAACTCTCTCAACTCATTACTAAATTTCTATTGTCGGATATTCAATTAATCAAAGTTTTTCTCTTATTGTTAACTTTTTATTTACTATTTTTTTTATATTTTGTTCTTAATTTTTTAATAAGTTTTCAAAATATTTTTAAACTTTAAAAATTATTGTAAAAAATTTTTAAACTAACATTTTTTTAAACACACAATTCATACTCTCTTATTTGTGAAGTCACATGTCAAATATTTTTAATAAAATATAACATAGCAATATGACTGACCATCTTTATTATAGTAATTGCATTTTAAAATTTTGCATTTAGATGTTAGTTGGGAATTACATATATTAATAAAGTTTTTACTGTTGTTCTTAGGTTCATAACCAAGACCATCTATATTGTAAGACGCACATTGGTTATCTAACAAAAGATTCAAGTTGTCTCTTCCTTTAGTGAATTTATCAAGTGTGGTTTAAAGATCATCAACTTTAATTTTCAAAATGTCACATTAATCACACTTGATAGATTCATCAAAGACTTCGTGAGAATAGGAAGAGTTTTGAGTTAGATCATCTTGTCTCTCTTTAAAACTCTCTATTTCTTCCAATAAGTTTTTCTTTCCAATTCGATGGAAGAAATAGTTGTTGGACATGTGAATCCACACACAATAGGGAGTGAATTGTGTGTTTAAAAAAACGGTAGTTTGAAAAGCTTTTAGGATCATTTACCAAGTTTCAAATCATTTTAAATGATTTTAGAAATTAGCAGCATAAATTTGAATAAAATATGAAAAGTAAAATTTAAGGGAGGAGAGAAGACACTAGGAATTATACAAGTTCAGTCGAGAATACTTAGTCTTGTCCTCAAGATTTAATCTTGAGAGTATCAAATAAACTTAAGAGTTTTTAGTAGGTTGAACTCTCGAACCCCTTTATACAACAACTTGAAGTGGTTAGTCCCCAAGTTACACCGAGGTTTTACACAAACATATCTCGAAAAAGAAGAGCTTTTAATCTGGGATGAGCTCGCGAACCAAAACGAGGTTTTGACGGGCTGACCACAAACCTATTGAATTTTATATTGGCTTAAATCCAACCTTAGAAAGCTTTTAAATCGGGACGAGCTTACAAACCGAACTAAGGTTTTACATAGAATAACCACAAACCAATTTGAGACTTTAATACCAGACTAATATCGAACCAACAAAAGCTTTTCAATAAGTTAAGCCTTCAACTGAACTGGTGGCTTAGAAACTAAGTCAATAAACCAAAATTTTTAATGGGTTTAACTTCAAACTCAAATAAACAATCCCTAATTGGATAAATTATTCAACAAAGGTAAAATTTAAAAATTGGTGAATTTACAATACTACCCTTCTAGAATTACACAAATGCCTCACTACACAAAAGATCTTTCTCGAAAGCACTACAACTAAATTTAAATGAGAGAATCTAAAGAAATTTTTTTTAGCGAGATTGTGAGGAGTGAGATATAAAAGCTCACATTTCTGGATATGAAAATATGAGCAAAGAAAGTTCTATTTATAGGCTAGATGTTGCCACAATTGTGAGACAATCGATTGACATAATACATCAATCGTGTATATATATATATATATATATATATATATATATATATATATATATATATATATATATATATATATATATATATATATATATATATATATATATATATATATATATATATATATATATATATATATATATATATACACCATTCATTAAGATGTTGTCCTAAACATTTATAACACATTTTTGTAGTAACCCAATTGATTGGGTATAAGTGACAATCGATTGGCCAATACAAAAAACTCCTAAAACTTTTATGACCACTTCCAATTCAAATGGCATGGCTTTAAGATATTTTTAGAAATATTTCTTTAAAAAATAAGTTATAAAACTCATTTAAATGTGTGTGTGTGTGTGTGTGCGCGCGCGCGCGCGCGTTATTATCCATAAACTTTACGAGTAAGCCATTATGCTTTTACGACATACTTTTCACTTTGACGCATGAGAGCGAGTTTTCACACATCCTAGTTTTTCATACTTTAAAGCTTTAAGACTTTGCCAGATAAAACCCTCATATATACACTTGCTTTAATTCTTCTTAAAGGTGAGACTTGAGATGTATTCATGTTCGGTGCCATCATTAGAGGAATTTTGCAGTTATAAGTAAACTCTAACTTAGTAGCTTAGTCTGATTGCATCTTTGGCTGCTTGTAATGTTTGTACTTAAGTTGTTACTTGTAATCATCAAAAGCATATCCAAGAGTATGTTTTTTTAGATCTTCCTAAACATGCAAAACATGATTCTATAATAGTGTCTTTAGAGGTAGAAAAAATTTATTCTAATTTACTTGTTTCTTTTGTAAGATTTTTACAAATTTGAAACAAGTCTTGATAATTAAGAAAAATAAGAGGTTACCTCATCTTTTTTCAGGATTTTCCATGATGATTCCACTTCATTATCATCTCATTATGTCTTGTCTCTCTTAGCGTATTTTTGTGCTTTATTGGATCTTCTCTGATTTTGGTTTCTCATCTGGTTTTGAGGGCAGTTTAGTCTTATGTGACCTTCCTTTCCGCATTGGTGGCATGTGAAAATGAAAGAGGATTTTTCTCTTGAAAACTCGAATTTTTTTTTCTTTCCTTAGTAACTCCTTGAATTTTTGAGACATGACTTTCATGTATTTGTTATCTCGCTTTGACACTCTTCATCTTCTGATTCCATATCTTTGATGTAGGAAGCTTTTAGTGCAATACTTTTTCTCTTCTTCATGTCACCTTCCCCGTCATCATCAAGTCTCTTCAGTTTCATCTCATGTTCCTCCAATTTAGAAAACAATGTATACATGTCTATGGTTTTTAAATTCCTATATTCATAAATTGCAATGACTTTAGGTTGCCGATTATGGTTTAGGCATCTAAGGATTTTCACAACCAATTCCTCAATTGAAAAATATTTTCCCAGAGTTCTCATATGATTCACGATATGGGTGAATCTTTTTTGCAAGCGATTAATGTTCTCTTCAGGTTTCATTCTAAAAAATTCATACTCACGGGTTAATATGCTTAACTTTTCCCTATTTATCTCAATAGTTTCTTCATGGGTAATTTGGAGGATGTCCCGTATTTCTTTTGCAGTCTCACAGTGAGAAACTCGCAAAAACGCATAAAGACACATAGCGGTAGTGATGGCATTTTACACCTTCAAATTGTGATGCACGTTTTCCCTATCATATTTGGTCCAATCATTTCCAAGTTTACTCACTACAGCACAATCAACTTCATATGTAGGAATAAATGAAATTTCCTTCACAACCTTCGAAATACCATGATATATCCCTTTGATTAAGAACTTTAGCTTATATTTCCATAAATTATACCTTTCCCAAATTAAAGGATGGGGGTTTGTTTAGTGCTTAATTTGAAGTCATTTCCTACATCTCGGGATGGTTAGTCTTTAACAAGAGTTAAACTCTGATGATACTTGTTAAACAAGTGACCCCAACTAAAAAGAGGGAGCATGAATTGTGGTATTTAAAATTATTGATTAATTTTAAAAGGTTGTTTACTTAAAACAATAGTCTGTGTTAGTATGGAAATAACACATATAAAATAAGTGGAAATAAATAAAATGAAAATAAATGACATAATACAAAGTGATAGAGTTCGAGAGATGATACCAAAATTTATAGAGGTTTGACTTAATATTAGTCTAGGTCTCTCCCCAAGAGATCTACTTGAGAGTTTTAATAATGGGTTGATATTTTTTAGTTTATGCCCCTGAACCTTTGTTTCAAGTAAATTGAGAGATGCTACACTAGCTTATCCCCCTAACCAAATAAGAGATTTCCCATAAGCTGAGCTCACAAGTCGAGTAGATATTTTACCAGCTAATCTTAATAACCAAACATAACTTTTATTGCGTGGAGTTCTAGAACCAAACATAGATTTTCATTGATTTATCTCTAGAATAAAATTAGAACCCTCAAGAGAATTGGACTCTTGAACTAAACAAACAAGGCATGACACCAGTGTGAAATGTTCCTCACAAGTAGTTTTCACTCACAAGGCATTAAGGCAACTTTTTGGTGAAAATAATATTGCAAAAAATGGAGGATATTAATTAAATAGAAATACTGTGGCTAAACAAGGAAATAACCAAAGGGCCGAAATAATG